GCGTTTTCTGTGCAGAAGGAGCTGGGGCAGGCACACCAGGGCCCTGGCCCAATGCCAGCAAACCCTCAGATGTCAGTGCTCCCAGCAGCTGCAGCATCCTGGCTGGGACACCCCAAAGGGGCTCTGGACAGAGGGTGCAGGTGACACGCAGGCTGGCAGGTGCACTTGTGCTGGGACCCTGCCCACTGATGTGCACCTGTCCCTGGCGCACCATCCCCACTTGTACCAGTGCTTCTCTGTGTCTAACTTTGAAACGAGTTTAAACAGTCTTAGAACAATTACCAGCTCCCCTGATAGCCCCATTTACAGTCTTTGTATCTCAGGAGGTTTTTAGTGTAATTCCACAATTATCTCATTGCTTAACATACTCAAATGCTTTTGTTGATTACCACACATAACATGCAGGCTTAGCTTTAGCTTAACAGCTTCAATGTCAAAACCATGAACATTCATTGAGCTTTCCTTAGTTATGAAGTAATTACCAAGACAACGACAGAACGCTAAATGTCTAGGGAGGGAACCTGTGGGCCTGGGGATGCAGCACTGGTTCTGAGACAAGGGTGAGCACAAGGCAGGCATGGGCAGCGGGGACAGCACACGGGGCTTACCTTTCATCTACGTCCTGGAACAAACAATTGGGTGTATGTGTGGTCGTAAAAATTCTCTTTTCCGGAGGAATTCTAGGGGCTGAAAGAATAGAATTTTGCTCAGCTGTCTGATTCTGAGAAATGCACACATTTTGTAGTTACATGACAACAACTAGAAAACCACGTGCTTCGTTCAGTGACAGGGCTCTGACAGCAGCCTGAGAGCCCTCGCCAGCCCCTCGGCTCTGTGGGCCAGTCCTAGTCAGGGAAGCCAGGACTTCCCATTTACAAAACCACACGCTACGCACAGGCTTCTCAGAAACTCCTGCTGCTGCAGGGCCCTGGTCAAGATTTTAAGATCCAACAAGATGAGCGGAACAAATTCTTTTTAAAAATGAGTTAAGTATTTGGATTGAAACTTGTGCAAACATCAATGTATTGGGACTTCAGTTTCTTAGGTGGGCAAAGATAATTTGCATAAAGAAAGTCATATCCAGAACTTTCCTCAACTTCCAAATTCATGGATAAAACATTCAAAATTCCAAATGCTTCATACTTGATGGAGACTGACCTTATGGGCGAATAACCTGCTGAAATGTAAGTAACCCCATAAATCTTTATGAACTATTTGGAAGACAATATTCTATATGCAAGAACCCATCAAATATTTAAAAGCAAGCCACATACCTAAAACATTCCTACCATTTAATAAAATGCCTTTTAAAAAAAGACATCACTAACCACTGAGAGAAGGTAAGGTCATAGATTCTCTGCTTTCAGAGGTTCTGACATGGGGATCTGCTGAGTTGCCACAGTGCTGTGGCCGGTATGAGACTATGTCACAGCTTGGTACGGGGGGTCGTTGGGAGGACATGATCAGGATGCTTGAAGAACCCAGACTTGGTAATTTGGGGGGTGGGGGTGGCCTGAGGAGCTGGCAGGACCAGGAAAGGACACCTGGCGAGATAAGCCTGCTGCAGAGACTAGATTTCTATAGGCAGAGATGGGGAGGGGGCGCTAGGAGCAAACACAGGGGGTCACGGGGGCCAACTGTCTGCAGGAGCCTGGTGTCAGGACGGCAGACTCAGTGGGAGGTAAGAGTGGGGATGGCTTGGGGTTCTGAGGAAGAGCTGGCGTCCCTGCACTTCAGAGGGACCAGGGCCAAGGCCTGGGTGTACACAAGGACGGGAGGGACTTAGGCCCAGACTGTCAGGGCTGTTCTCACTGCGTGGATGGAAGGCAGTGGGTGGGGAAGGGGAAGGGCACCTGCGGTCACAGTGATGGCCCCGACATGGGTGAGATGTTGGCACACAGACCCTTTAACTGCGTGGGGAGGTGGTGTGGCAGGGTCCCAGGAGGGCCAGGTGACAAAGGTGGGTATGCTGACTCTCGAGGGACATGAGACCCTGTCCATGGCTGGGGGAGGCTGCGCTGGAGTCCACCTAACAGACATTACATCTGAGCCAGGGGAGTAACTGAGGGACCAGAGGAGCCCTTGGTTGGCCTGGGCCTGGCTGTCACCTTCGTAGCCGGAGTGCACCCTCTCTGCCAGCAGCACGCAGCACAGCTGGCTCTCAGCGCCCTGCTGCTCCGGCACCTTGACCAGGTAAGGCGTCATACGGAACGGGTGGTAGTGGATCTCATCTTCATGGTTCTTCCCGAAGCTGAAGAGGAGGGTGCCATTAGAGGGCGGAGTTATGACAGAAGGAACCATCCCTTATTGCTGGTCCCCTCCCCCATAGCTGGCTGTCATCTCAGCAATCCCTTCATTTGTTGTAAAGATGCCCTCCCATCCCACCCCAGCATACTGGCAGACGGGTGGGCTGCCCTTGGCCTGTCGGCTCTGCCTTCTCCCCAGCTGAGAAGCTGGGCCCACCACCCGGCCCCTCAGATTTCCAATGACGTCACAGGGTAAGTCACAGTCATCAGCCCTGAGAGATCTTTTGAGCTGTCTCTAGAGCAGTTTGCATTTTAATTAGGCAAAGGGATGCTGCTCCAACAGTGGGGTCCTGGTCCACTTTCTGAGGGCACCGCTGTCTGGCCAGGGGTCGCTCCTGACACTGCAGCTGGAGGCTTATCTGGGAAAGCTACGGGGCTCTCCCCAGGAAAATGCACTTAAAAAAATATACACTCAAACCAAAGGCTGCATGTACTTTTGGGGTCCTCAAGGACCCCAGGATACACGCCTCCCCAGGTAAGGCCCCTGGCCTGTTTCCAGGTGATGGACAGCAAGTCCCAGCTCCTCGGGCTGCCATCCTCAGTGAGCACTGGTTGAAATCACCCCACTGTTGACCAGGCTGTCTTAACCCCTTGTGAACCTTTAAAATGCAGCTCTGGCCACGTGCTTTCTTTTCACTCACTTTTTTAGGAGTGTGCGTGCTGCGTGGCCCCTCGCTCCAAAGATGGGAGCACAGCCAGGCTCGTGGCCCTTCCTGCCTGGAGTGGAGCAGGGACGGGTGGGAGACGTCCGGGCCTCCTGCACTTCCCACCAGGTGCTCAGGATGAACTGGTTGGGCCATTCCAAGTTTAGGAAGACCTGTCACTGGGCTTACCTGACACGGCAGAAGAAAGACTTCTCCTCCATGCATTCTTGAGTGAAAGAATCTGAAAGAAAAAGCCCTCAGTCACCCACCCAATGACACGACGACGTATGGAGCGCGCTGTGTCCTCCTAAAGACAGCACCAGAATCAAAGCCAAGGTGTGGCACAAACCTGCCAGAGCTCAAAGCGAAGCCTCAGAGAGCGTTTATCCCAGTTCTGGCTAAAATGAAATCTATTCATGAGCGCGGCACATTCCAGAGTTTACAGCCAGGGTCTGACGCCCCCAGATGCGCCCGGGCTCTCTGCCCTCTGCAGACTCACCTCAGACTCCAGCTTCTCAGAACTTCATTTCTAAAATGCCTAACATGTCCTGAAAGCCTCTGAGATGTTTGCTCCCTCTCTGAAATTCATGAAAAGACTATTTTTCTCTCTAAATTTATTCTGAACAATTCATGATCTCTCCCCTGGGACAGAGGCCGCCACGGCTGTGCTGGTCTCAGGCAGAGGTGAGGTGGGCGGCGCTCCCTTCCTCTCACCTGTCCCACTGCAGACACTCCACGGAGGAAGCTTGTAAGGCGTGGTGGAGCTGTGGAACACGCTAACGTCATGGGGCGCCAAGAACTCCACGAACTTGGCATCGTGAAAGGTGTCTCTCTTACAGTGGAAGATGGAGGCCACCTGGTTGGAGATGTACAGGGTTTTCCCTGTGACCAGGGACACAGCCGCAGCAAACATGTCCTGGAAAGGAAGAACATCCTGGGGTCAGAACGGGCAGAGGGGACGGAACAGGATGGGCACACGCTTGGGGCAGGTGACAGGAAGGGGCACAGAGGGTCAGGGAAGGCCTCTGGGACCTTCAGTCCTGACCAGATAACTCTATTTCCCCTCATATACTGGCGTCCAAACAGGATATTATTTGAAGAATCACATCGGGGCTCCACTCCAAAAGGAACCCGGGGTGCGGATTCCCACGGGTGTCATCCATTCAGTATTCTTGGGTACAGAGCCCCTGGCGTCTGAATTGAGAGGTGGAAGGGCCCTGCACACCTCTGTTACCAGGGCTGGGGTGTTCCTCTCCTGGGGTGCCGGGGACTGTCTGGGGGCTGCAGGGCTCTGGACCTCTTGAGCTAAGGACTGGTTGGGGGGGGGGGGGAGTACTGGAGGAAGGTGAGAAGGAGTGGGAGCCCAGTTCTCCAGACAGCTTTGAGAAATGCTGCTCTCTGAGAAATGGGGGCTCAGGGCATGGCCAACCTGCTCCCCGTCCCGACCTCCAAGGGCCCACCTTTATCAGCCACTTTAAAATGCATCAGGTTTGGCCCTAGCCAGTTTGGCTCAGTGGATAGAGTACCAGCCTGTGGACTGAAGGGTTCCAGGTTCGATCCCGGTCAAGGACATGTACCTCAGTGCAGGCGTGTTCCCTGGCCCTAGTGCAGGAGGCGACCAATTGATGTGTCTCTCTCACATCAATTTTTCTGTCTCTTCCCCGCCCTTCCACTCTCTCTAAAATATCAATGGAAAAATATCCTCAAGTGAAGATTTTAAAAAATAATAATAAAATAAAATGCATGAGGTTTGGAGTCCCATGAAGCCGAGTTTAATCCCAGGGCACCCCCCATGAAGCCCTGAACAGTGAACCAATTGCCCCCTGGCGTGTCCTCACCCTGAAGTGCTGTGCTTGGTCACGGTGTGTGAGGTGCCGGGTGGAGTGGCCAGGAGGGCACAGGGTCTGGGAGACATCTGGAGCAGGACTTCTGAACCACTGACTCTACATTCTTTTTCTAAGGTCTGAACTCACTTCCTAAAACTCCAAACTCTGCTGCCATCAAGCCACCGGCCAGGCGGTCACCAGCTCACCGAAGGAGGACTCCCCACAGGTGACACTCACCGTGCTCTTCATAATGACCTCGGAGGTGGCGCTCTGGATCTCCTCTATGGTGTAGGAGGGCACGTCCGGGCCGCAGCTGTGCTTCTCGCTGGACATGAGCAGCTGGTAATACTCCTCGTTGGCTGCGGGAGAGACCAAGAGGCAACTCCTAACTCACTTTTCTCATGAAAAGTGGGCTAGGAGACCATCTCCTGGATGCTGAGAGAACGGATCACAGAAAGACAAAGGCAAAACAGAAATCTGGGGGTTTCCCCTGAAAATCAGAAGGCCGATGGTCACAGAACTTTGTGAACAATAAATACACATTATCTTAAATAACAAGGCCACAGAGTTCCACCTAATGCTCACTTTCCCCACAAGGTGGTCAATCATGACGCAATGTCATCATGTCCATGCAGGATGGCTGTGGCACCCCTGCTCTGCCTCCCGTGGTGGTCACTGACACCCCATCCAGACAGAATCAACTGCTAAGGTCACTGGGCACAAGAAACAACATGTGGAACAACCTGCTCAGAACAGACCCTAAAGACAAGGCCGCTCATCCTGGAACATCTGGCATGGCTTTGGGGTGACCCAGCCATGGCCAAGAGGCTGAAGAGGGCCCCTTAAAAGGCCACACAAACCAGCACATGGCCACTTTCCATGTCTGGCACAAACTCTCCCAGCCAGACTACATGAAACAAGCCCTTCCCACGGAAGTCATCCAAACATTAGAAGTGTGAACACTATTTGAAACGTGGCTTGGTATCCTCATTAGTGACAGGCTTTGCTTTGACTGCAGGCTGTACCTTGAGATAGTAGCTGATGGTAACAGAATAAAGCACTGTTTCACCTTTCTATCAGCCTTGGAGGTTTTTTCTACTCTTATGCACGTTTCTGATGTGTGGTGTCCACTGGGACTCAGTGCGTGTGTGAAATACGTAAGTGAAGGTCAAGTGGGGGGAGGGTTCACACATCTGCCCCAAGGAGATACTGACTTTCCCTGACTCAGCTTACTCATCAGTGGACCAAACAGCTAAGAAATCCCTCCACGTGCAGGGGCTGGGGGTTTCACTGTAATGACAAGGGTCCGTGGAGTGTCCCCTGTTTCAAGACTAGGACTGCACACATGCATACCTGCCCCAAGACTTCTACTGTTTCTCTGAGGCACTGAGGACATTTAAGAATTCTCAAAGTTCTCATCCCATTTCCCAGCAGCAGACTGAGAGGCCAGGCTGCGAGGACCTCTCGACCAACTTCATAGCTAAACAATCCTGAGATGACCCTGAGCACAGGGTCCTGGCCTGGAGGCAGAGGCACCGAGGTGACCTGAGACCCAGGACATGGGGTGTCTGCCCAGTGGAAGGTCTGGTGGCAGGACCAAGTGAAGGCAGATACTTAAAGGCTTGGAGTTGATTGAAATGGAAAGTGTCTGAGCCCAATAAGCTAACATTTTGGGTCCATCATTGGGCCCAGGGGTGGTGGGGGAACGGCCCTTCCCGCCTGTAGTGGAGCAGGGACTGGTGGGAGATGTCTGGGCCTCCTGCACATCCCACCAGGTGCTCAGGATGAACTGGTTGGGCCATTCCAAGTTTAGGAAGATCTGTCACTGGGCTTACCTGACACGGCAGAAGAAAGACTTCTCCTCCCGTGTGTTTGCTCATAGGTTCCTGCAATGTGTCCTTAGACAAAAGCCTTTCTCTAATCCACCAACTAGCGCCAAAAGCTGTCACATGCTGCCATCTAATGATAAAATCCAAACATGCCCACAGATGGACGGAGGCTGGATTTCGGGGGTCCTGTTACCATGCACCTGTGATGGAAGAAGGCACTCTGCCCTGCCTGCCTTCCTGGTCCAAAGCCCACCACCACTGAAACTCACACGTTTTTAGATAAACAAGAAATAAAGGTGGGGTTTAGTGGTTGAGTTTCAACCCATGAACCAAGAGGTCACTGGTTCGATTCCCGGTCAGGGCACATACCTGGGTTGTGGGCTCAATTCCCAGTAGAGGGCGTGCACAAGGCAGCCAATTGATGATGTTTCTCTCTCATCAATGTTTCTATATCTCTATCCCTCTCCCTTCCTCTCTCTAAAAATAAACAAAAACATATTTAAAACAAAAAGAAATAAAGAGCCTGGGGTCTTAAATGAAGAAGCTCTAAGATATTGTCTTTCAAGGATGAGCTCTGTTAAACCCACCCACCCCTGGGGTCCCTTTGTTTTTTTCTTTTAAAGGAGGGCAAGTCCTCAGCTAAACACTGTGGGATGTTTCGCTTCAATTCCACTCTGAGCCGCCCACATCACCGGGCCACCAGTGGTCACCCACTCCAGCCAGAGCTTGGAAGATGCTGCACTCTCCTCACCATGACCTGACCTAGCCCACAGCACAGAAGTTTTATGTTGTAAATAGGTTTCTGTTATCAGCTGGCTTTCTATCCGCTTTATTTTTTCCTCTAAAAATCAAGTGCAATAGACAGCTTCCAGTGAATTGAGGTTTTCAATTGTGGCAGCTCCACAAGACTCCTAAGTTTCTTTCTTCTGTGTCAGGTTTGAGTTTTGAAAGCCAACACAGTCCAAGCTGTAATTTGGGGGGATGTGAAACTTACTTCTACAGGTTGGAACAAACACATG